TAATTGCGTCTAGCTGTCCCGGTTATGTATGAAATTCATATTTAGAATATACTCTTACAGGCATGAGTTATCACCATATACATATATGTGTAAGCGCGCATTATTCAACTATGTGCATGATGTTTAAGCTGTCGTTGTATGCACGACGGCGTGTTAACGTACGAGATCGGCCATCTTTGTTTTTTTCAATAGACTCTTTTTTTTACCAAATTCCATTTTTTCCTCTACAAAATGGCTAGCGGTTTGTTACCTTTTTGGCCTATAAAAACTAAGATATATCTGCCTTGGAGTACGAATGAGAGACAACAGCAAGAAATTTGGAACATGCACCTCCAAACAAAATGCATAGAGAAGTTAACCCACTTCCACCAAAACAACTGTTGGTGTACGTGTGCAAGAAAGTCCCAAGTGCTTCGAGTTGAGACTTGGTGATTGGATGCCTGATAATAGTTATTCGGAGTGTTTTTGGTCTCTCACCGTCTCTGTCCTGTCTTTCTCACACTACAAAGGCCCTTGTGTGAGTCAAACAGATTTTTGAGGGAAAAAACTTGTTGGACCCTCTCGTTCTCATGCAATCACACATGTTGAGGTGGTCTGGTGGTGTGACCCAGTTATCTAGATCTGCAAGTTGCAGGAAATTACTGGAAGCAGAGGACCCCACAATACCGGAAAATATTAACCAGGAGAGAAGTTCCGGTACCGGGCACGCGGACCGGGGCGTATGGAAGTCGACACCGTAATACCGGGGCTTCAACCAACTTGTTGGCTGCCTAATTCTTTTCACTTAAGCTATTTCCTTGTCTGCCGGTGTATAAATTCCTTGATATTAGCTGCATTAGGTTACAGGCCGGTGATATTTATGTGTCTGTTTAATGGGATTTTTGGACACCAAATATTCCCCAGAAAGTGCCATTGATTTGGTGTACAAGAACTGAATTCGTTGAGTATCAACAAAACTCGAAATTTAAAAAGAAAATACCGAATTTTCTATATAACACCATGAACTAACAATTATTTGCTAATGAAATTCAGTACTTCCTCATTTTGTTGTTATTTTTTTTTAACAAATCAGTGTTTCACAGCATTTACCCCTGTACAAATCAAAAACAATATCAGGGCGAATGCTAGATAAGAAGGGAGAAAATACTTTGTGAACGAAATTTCATGCACGGCACGCAACCAGAAACAATTCAGAGTTTCGCGGACCACCACCACTCCCAAAGGTAAAGATGCCATTATACAAGCGGCAACCCAGATAACATGCCAGCAGTATTCACGGGGACGACCGCTGGGGTCAGACGCCGTGACCCCGTCGAAGGACAAACAACGCCGAGTGTACGGTATGTGCGGCGCTCCGTGGCCCCCAACTCGCTAGCGTCGCGTCGATGCACTCGTCTAGGTCTACGAGTCAAGTTCGCGGCACGGCACCGAGAAAAAATTGTTTCTCGTGTCGCGTCAGGTGAAAATTGACGAACAGCATTTTTTTAAAGTGTTTATTCCATTATTTGTTTAATTTCCAACACGGACCAGTTTTGACACTTGACTGTGCTTAAGATCTTAACCCTTTTTACTCAATCGATGCTGCACTGACATGATTCGAAATACTTCATAATTGACTTCATAATTTTCATGATTTTGTTTAAATAATAATCACACGTTGGGCAAAAAAATGAGGATTGTTTTTTTTCCTGTTCGGTTATAAATGTTAATGTCGAAAAAAAATACGGGCAACCGACACTTCCGTTAAATTTGTACATTAACACTCTATGGCGAGACAATGTATTGAAATGAACTAGCTACACTTATGCTGGTGTTTTAAATAATGTATAGTAAAAGAAGATACTTAAGTAAATATTTATTACAATCTGGCTGTGCAAATCTACATCATGTACTTTTGTTAAGTTGGGGGAAATCATGAATATCTTGCATGCGTGGGAGTGATTGGTAGGCGTGGATTTTAAATTTCAACACTGTACTTCAAGTATTTGTTTAAACACACATGTATGTGTACAAAAAGTCGCTTGGAAAAGCTTTTTTTTCGTAAATTAAAGTGTTTAGCAAAATATTGGATGGCTCGTCTGTTATATATATACCACTTGAGGCTGTGCTGTGAAAGGCTGTGCTGTGTAAAGTAAAGATGAAATTAAAAAATGTAATAACACATTTGTGTAATCTGCCAAGTATTCTAACTATCACAGATGCTTCTCACTGCGTCATCCACTTCTGCATATCTAAATGTACACTTAAATCCTCCGTACTGTATAGCGATTACAAATCAGAAAGCCCCTGAAATTCCAAGGTTACGAAATGCAGGTGTGTTATGTTTCACTATACTTTCCCCTCAATTTCGAAGAAAGTATGTCTCAACGTGATAATTAGTAACTTGTTCAGCTTTTGTCTTTCATTGAAAGTGCAGTTTGTCAATAGAATTATTGTACGATTTTTGTTTTACAGTTAAAAGTGAGGATTTACCTTGCGTATTGGTAGGCAGAAAGTTATGGGCCTGCATTACAAAAGCATATTTCAGTAGGAATTGGCGCGCGAATCGACAACGCATCATGCAACAGATTTGGTATATGAATATTTATTGAAGTCATATCAGCATGACCTCGCATTGCCCGAGTACGCTCATATGCAATGTGCATAATGCCATAAAATTATAGATTGTCTGAAACGCATCATAAACTCTTCTGGTGGGTTTTCGAAACTCTAATTCGTATGTAAATGATCCGTATGGATCTAAGCAACAGTGAGTTTTTGTCAATTCAAATGAACACCCGAGCGTCTCCATTGAGCGATCTTTCAATTCATAATTTGAGTCATCATTATTGTGCGCCATGAATGCTGCATGAATGGCGTTTGTCCCCTGTATGTCAATATGTTTTATGCATTAAACAGCATGATAGCGCATTTCAATGTGGCATTATACAGGGTTGATTTCAGCTCACATCGGAATTGCCTTTATATTGGAAACGAATGAGGATTTGAGCATGAACTTAGGAATGACCGACATGTTTTTTTTAAGTCATTGTATGATTGCTTGAATTATCATTGAGTTAAAACATGGATAGGCCTACACCAAACATGACATGTGGGCTGTGGCTCTATATAGAATGATGCGAAGCAAGCATTATGATACGGGCATTATGGCATGTGGTGTACATGTCCAAGAACTGAGAATTGTGTGCTGACTAAACAGTCAATAATCGTCTCGTGTCACTAGTCCCATGTTGTCATCACTGTCAACAGCCGGAAAAAACCTTACTGTGTATTATATTTATGTTTAATTGCCAGTATTGTCCGACTCGGTCTATACTTTTAGCGTGTGGGTTGGAGATCGCAGCCGTGGTACATCGATTGTTGGTGTCACGAATGATGGCACCAGGCTAGCTGTCATCAAAACAGCATTGTCTTTCACCTTCCAGCTATCGTCGGCAATTACTGCCTTGCCAGTTACTTGGCCTTCGTGTAGGAAGATGAAAATAGGTCCGTTTGAGTAACGTGGTGATGATGTAACCACAGAATACAGGGTAGCCAAACCGGCATGTCTTTATCTTTCTCTCTGGCATTAAGTGAACCCATGCACCATGCCGGTGTTGAACCAATTTTTTTTCGGGGGGGGGGGGTTGCTAACTGGTGCGACAGTCGTGTCAGCGCCATCCTGCCTAATCAACTGCGAGACTGAGATATTTTGGTTCATTACGGGGTCCTCAGCACCGGAGCGTTTTGCGTTGCTATGGTCGTCAACGCCGACATCACAGCCCACATCCTCAGATGGAGGGAGTCTAGACAGAGCATGATGAGCAAGGCGATCGCGCAAAGGCCTTCACAGAAATTAGACCACCTCTACGGCACTGGACATCCAGTGGGCTCATTATCGACATTCCAAGGGCACCAATGCGCAACATGGGCAGACGATGCCATGGGCAGACGTTACCATGGCAACATTTTGGGAAGAAACCATGACAATGAAACTCACACAGTATTTAAAAAAAAATCCGTGTTCAGCAAACCAACCTGCGATAGGGTGTCACGGATTATTGCTATTAAGATATACATGTATGGCATCATACAAGCAGCACTGACGTTATTAAGTACATACTTTTGTAGACATAAAACGCACCATTTAACCAATCAAGCACCAATTTGACCTAAGCATACTAGGGCCGACAGGGCAGATTCATCTGGAACACCCTAAACATTGCAAGATGGCGATGCCTGATCGCAAAACCACATGTCTGTGAAGAAAACAAACTCAGATCTCGGCCCTTTTTGTTCGTTCTCAACAACTACCATCTTAGTCGTACACTTCACAGTATGAACCATTCAAAGAGAAAGTATTGAAGTCATTAGGCTGAACCCTTATGGAATAAGGAACAAATACATGACATTTTGGAAGATTAGCATACTTTCTCAGCTTTATGGGTCAGGCCAGGAGAAAAGATTGAGACAATTCAAAAGTTATGGATGAAAATTGACTAGTAAAAGGCTACGCCATGGCACAATATATCGATCAACATTGACACTGCTCTTTACGAAAAGTTGTCATCGGTTTTGAAATGTGCTTTTCCGTGGACCAAAGAAATAGCCAAAAGCAATTGGATCCTCCTCCAACTTTGACCCAGAATTTGTTTAAAAGATTAAAACGAAATTTCTGTTGATTCACTCCATGTATTCAGTAAGCAACATTTTAGGAACACGATTAAAGGGTTACCTTTTGCTTCCAATCATTTAATATTGCCTTAAGAATATCTAAACTTGATTAAATGTAATCTCAATTTGGTGGGGTTTTTTTGGTACAGTTTCCTGTAATCTCCAGGTCTCAGGCTCGTTTACCCTGGGAGAAACGGCGGTCCTTTTTGTATAGAGTTGAAACAGCTGGGAAACAGAATAATTCGGCTGACTAGTGTCAGGTAACGATGCAGAGATTGAAGATTTGGCCAAGAAGGTCAAATACAAAATGTGTTTATGATATGACCATTAATGGGCTCCACACTTACCGGATGTGAAGAGAACGATTGCCTTCATGCAGCTGTACTCTGCCGAGTCCACGTGCAACGCCTTCAACTTTTCCACCTGTTCCTGGAATATCCGAATATGGTCCATGAAAGCGACGACCCGATCGGCCGACATTGGGCTGGCGTGCAGGCCCGAAGCGGCCAGCAGCGGGGCGACGTGCAGCGGCATGGAGCACTGCGAGGCGTTCAGGACGAAGAGTTCGCTCCAGCACATCCGCAGCAGGGCCACCTGGTCGGTCACCTGAAGGTCCGGGAAGAAGGGGATGTTACGGGCCCACTCCACGGCACTGAACAACAGTCTGGCAGCCAGCTCGCAGATACTGTCGATGCCCATGACGCTGTTGGTCTGCATGCACTGGGCGTAGCGGGAGGTGGGGTAGGGCTCGGCCCGCAGCAAGAGGGAGATGTAGCCCGAGAGGAAAGAGTGGCCCTCGAAGCGGCCGTCCAGGTACTGGCCTGGCCCGGGCTGTGACGGTGGAACTCGTCCGCGCTGTACTGCTGCAAGAGACCAGAGATTGTGTTATGTTATCAACTTATGAACACGGCTAATGTAAACTTACAGGGCAATCCTCCAGAAATGTATCTCGGTAACAGGTCCTCCACCTCAGCATAACTCCAATGTTTGTCCTGCATTTATGGTAGTTCACTGACTGATTACCGAATTATTTGGTCGTCAGAACAGTTTGATATGTTGTTTGATTTTTTTCTTGAATCAAACCTTTTCTTTTCTGCCTATAAACAAACATTATCAAGTCTGCTGTTAGTGTGACTGCATCGTTCATCTTCCTCAACTTTATTGCTATTTTTTTAGTTTCATAGCGTTTTGCCAAGTTTGAACTGGTTGCTGATTGGGTACAAGTTCCATCACTCACGTTGCCTTCTATTCATAATCACACCGGATATAAAATGGCGGCCAATTTGTGCTCGGTAAACTTACTGCCATAATTGTACAGATTCCCTAACCAACACCGGAGACGGCCCACTCTAAAACATGTCTACATTTTCGCTATGCTCCCTTTAATAGTTTTAGTTAACTGCAGGCATCACCACGGACACGGTTACAAAAATGGAAATAATGTCGAAAGTCATGAAATGAAAGAGTCAAAAAGATTTCGTCATTTGTTTGGCTACTGAACGGGATTATCTATTCATAAGTACTCATCGTAAAACCGAATAAGAAATACGAAATCAAGCTCGCAACTTGATATGCAGCAATATACTCACTGTAGATATTGAGTGAGGACTAAAACAATAAATACCAACAATCATATTTTGTTACCTTACAAATCATCGGTTTGTTTTACATACATTTAGATAACGTTGCAGCACAGATTGACGCCATCTTCTATGTAAAACTCAAATGCTTTAAAAACATGCTTTCATCCTTCATAGAAGTCAATCAGAATTGCAGGTCCATTCTATCCTCGACTTCTTTTCTGAGATCACTCGACTCAGGTTGACACCGAGTACTGAACATGACAAAACATGGCAAGCGAATCCACGACCCTGTCCCTTCAATGGTGCGCCATTAACAAAAAACTTGGGACACAAAGTGAGAAGTTTACCCCGAGGCTCGTCGAGTTTTACTGCTCTGTGCGATGGTGAACCGTTCCAATATGTGTCAGCATGGATTGCTGCCTATATGCAGCATCCATTCACGAATGTGCAACCGACCAGAAACGGGGCAGAGGTCCAAAATATGAAATACAAACCAAACATTGATACTTGTCACGTGACCAAACGTTGCTTTTTCCCCCCTTTTGGCCCAGTGATTATTACTTTTGTGGTTAACTGGGTAAGAACTTGTATTTGGGATTATTGTAAAAAAAAATGTGTATTATAAACAATTCTTTCTCGTGAATTTTTCGAAAAAAACGTAAAAAAAAAAAAAATCACATACGCACCAGATGTCTAATGCAAGCCCGATACAAAATGAACTCGAACATGGTGAAATGCGTGGTTACCAGTATTCATCCGGATACTAATGAATTCGGTAGAATTTAACGGCTGTAACTTTTTTTTGTCACCATACAAATGTTACATGCAAGATTGGCTGGAGTTGACGAAAAATACTTACTACAGTAACGTTGACTGAAAACTGTTGGGAGTTTTGTCACACCTGAACAGTACAAAGAATGTGGCTTTTTTGAGTTCAGACGCGGAAAATATGACGCAACGGAAAGTCCTATACTAGCATGGGCTTTCAAAACTGGTAAAACTTAAATCTGTAAAACTTTGATGCAAACGGAACCACATACCTCCATGCAGTGGTAAAAACGCCAACAAAATGTTGAAGCTGACTATTAACTAATCGTTTATGTGTTAATGCTCCTAAAGACCCAAGGTTTTATGTGAATAAATGTGGATTAACTCGGTGAGGCAGCTCCTGTAACTAAACAAAACTTTTAAAAACATCAAATTCTCAACTTCCGAGGGAAAGAAAAGAACAAAATGAAGTACTTACCTTCTCGTCTCATGCCCATTTTCAGACATTTCTTAAGCCTACAGTACTGGCATTGATTCCGGTGGTGTTGGTCGATGGGACAGTTACGGTTTGCCCGGCAGGAGTAGGTGAGGTTCCGCCTCACGCTCCGCTTGAAAAAACTTTTGCAGCCTTCGCAGGTAAACTGACCGTAGTGTTTCCCGCTGGACTTATCCCCGCAAACCACGCACTCAATTTGAGGTGGACTCTGGTTCTGTTGCTGGTGTTGCTGCTGCTGTTGCTGCTGCTGCTGCTGGGTTTGAGGGACCTGGGACTGGGCTGTTTGACCGGGTGTCGGCGTGGTTTGACTGGGTTGCGTTGGGGTGGTGGGTTGCGGTGTTTGGTGCTGCTGTTGCACCCCAATCCCCTGGGCTGTTGGGGTTTGTGGGGGCTGTGGGGTGGCCTGCGGGGCATGCTGTGTCTTATCCGAGGTGATATCATCACTGACATTGACTGTGCTCCAATGGGATGGCGGTGGGGGTTGGGTGACAGTCTTGGGATCCGGACCGAGCTCATCTCGGCTCCACGTACCGAGTCGCACCGGTCCAATCGGCTGTTGTGGCGGCGCCTGCTGTCTGGTCTTATCCCCGGCCAGATCGTCGTTACTCCAGGTACTAACTGCCATCGCCATGTTGCGGCGGAGTACGGTGAGTCTGCGACGGGCTGTTTTGGGGGTGTGTGGCCGATGTCAGAGGGGGCCACGGTGGGGCAGTCAATAGGTGGAGAAAGGGCAAAGAGAAAAAAGTACCAAGGTTAGTGTCGAGGTTAAAATGCCAAAGTGTCACTGTTAGTTCCGCGATATACGCGGCATGCGAATTACAATGACAACTATCAAAAGAAATCACCCGGCAAAAAATAAGAACTTACAACCCCAGCAGTCGCGAAAGGTCGGGTTTAGCAACCCTGAGAAATCGGAAGAGAAAAAGCAAGGTCTTGATGCGCTGACATTATTTCAATAGCCCCAATGCATGTGCGTGTATGTGAATGCCGTGAATCAACGCCACAGCATATAGCCAAAGTACTGTACTCACCTGGCGAGCTATGTAAAGATCAACGCACACATACACACCACCGACCTCTAACTACCTCACGCCGTAACCTTAGAACCGCAGACAGGGCAAAATGCCTAGAGTGACATCGTCGGTTAGGCTACCCGCCGGAGCGGAGTAATTCTGAAACACTGTGTGGCTTTACATACACGGGGGCGTGCGCTCTCGCCGTCTGGCACAATGGCTGAACTCTGACACTTTCTGTTTGAAACTGTCGGGTTACCATGACGTCCCCTTGCCTTTTATGGCGGGTGGAGATGTCAGCCGGGTTCACCAGGTTGATTGGCGGATGGTAATCAGTGTAGCCACGGTCGCGGCCGGTGGACCCGTCCATCATAACAGCCTGCGCGCTGCTCATTGGCTGCCGTCATGATTTAATAAATTACCCTCATGGATATGCATGTTTATTGGCGGTCTGGTTCCAGTATCCCTACGCGTTCTTCAGCGGGATCAGTCGACGCCGTCAACTGGTAAAATAATCAAGTAACTGGCCGTGCCGCTGCGTTGGAACTGGCGGATTCAACACACGACTTGTACACACCGTGTTGGCGCGCTGGTATACACCAGGCAAGACTGAGTGGTATATGGTGTGAACTCCACGTACTGAACTCGAGTTCCCGCGCTAAATTGCAGATATATTGACCGGTTTTTGTGTCTGCGACAGTTTTCACACCACTGCAGAATGCGGAACTGAACGGCTTATGAGCTTTCCCGCCGAATTAATATAAACTCCGCGTGTATTTGTTTTTAAGGGGCGAGATGAAACTACTATAGGATTACAGAATTTTTTCTTCAAAGATTGAAGTTACTTATTGATGATAGCTGATTGATAAGCGCCGTGTATAACAGACGTCTTTCATTCTCATTTGGGTATTTACCTTTCAGCACAGCACATGTGCAATACCAATTGACCTACCGGAAAGAATTAAATGAATGAATTTGCGGAGGTATAAAGGGTGCCTGTTCAGTTTGATTTAGAAATTATCTCCTTTAAAATGCACCCATAATCAGGTAAGTGTACCTTCAAGAAATGAGATCACTATGAAACAACCAATTCCTTCACCGGGGTCTTGCAGTATAATTTGTGCTTCTTACGAAGCGATTCTGACTAGAGCTTTCAGGCCAACCGTTACTCTTAGTATACACGTGGAGCACAATCACAGGGGGAGACCTGACGCTAACCCATATCCACTGCATTGCCTTCATAACCCGAAATAGTCGTTTGATCCTTTGGTCGCGATGCCAAGTACCGGAGTTGCCCCCTCCGGCAGGTAGACCCAGATACAGCGCAATGTTTTCTCTTTTTGTTCGCTCCCCTATCCGAGATGAACACATGGACGTGGTAGCGTTAACAAATTTTTCGAGAGATATTGTACTTTCTCATTCGTCAATTATCAGAAGAAAGAAAAAGGTTTCTAATAAAGAAAAGTACAGTGTCAAAAGGGTTTCTTTAATTTTGAATAAAGTATTCAGTCGCGCAGGAGCCAATCTATCTGAAATTACACTCCATCCTCTCTTCACATCTGGAAGAATTTTACTGAGACTTTATAACACTTGGAATGACTTCACCAAATGGCAGACAAGTTTTTAAATTCGAAAGCAACAAAGAACAGGCTGTTGAAAACTGTTTACTGGCATGACCTTCGATGTATGAATTGTAAAAGAGGCCTCGACGTTTCGTAGATCCGAAGTCAAGGGCTACATTTAACAGCTATATTGTCTGTACCTTCAAGTCTTCAAAAAGCGACAAAGAGTTTACAAGGCTTATATATAGGGTACCGAGGTATATTCGTAGCGAACACACTCGCTCATATCAGTTCCCATTTTGTATTTCTGACCTAATCGTCAGTTTTTTAGTGTATCAACACAAGGCCATGCAGTTGAGTGTCTACTCAGACGCAGCCGAGATTATTGGCAAGACCCCGGCCACTTACCTTTTTAGCCTACCTTGACCCACAAAACACTTGCCGAGCCATCGACACCACAGCCGCGCATTATAAACCCGGCATATTGCCTGTTATTGCACGCGCCACTAGACATTGGGGATCGCAAGCGGCTACACAGACACACACCACACAGGTCATCACGGCTAAGTTCACTGCTTACTCGCGTTCAATGCCAGCCAGACGGCATTGTCTGATTGCATTGTTTGCGAGTTGACCTCGGCCAAAAGCCAGACATGTAAAAGGAATCTGTTAATAGAGGGAGGCTTTTTAATTCACAACGAGTTTTGTTGATTGCATCACGCCTGGTTGTGTAAGCGCCACAGCGCACGCATGCAGGTACCAAAAACATCGGAGCAGATCCGTTTATATACCTCGATCGACATGTAATTAATGTTTTTTTTATACTGGTATTTAAAAAAAATACTGTGAGTGGACTTGCATGTGATCATAGTAGACCTGCATTTTTTCCTCCAAAATTTCTGAACGAAAAAGAAAAAAAAACCTAGTTGTCATATGCATGGAAGTTTCATTAATGAAGAGGACACATAAGTACATAGCCTACACTCTGTACTAAGGCACCGCATTTTGCTTATTATAATTTCATTCCCTTGAATTTATGATACACTTAAATTGCATTAATAATGGTAAATTTGATGTTTGGTGAATCGTCCTCGAAAGCTTTTATCGAAAGCCAAGGCAAAGAGGGTGGTTTGAAATAATATTCCTAACATTAGATTAAACATATAGCTCACTTACAAACCATACGGGTGAATATATTTATATTTGCCCGAGTGAATCATTTATACCGATCGGCCTATTAAACATAATCCCAGTTTGGTTTTTAAAAAGAAAAAAATAGGATGAAGGGGAAAATTGCAAGACATAAAAAGGCACGTTGACCTTTAACATTATGGCCGAGGACTCTTTGTATAATACATCTGCGAAACGATTATGATAATATCTATACATTTGTATTTTATTTGGAGGGACCATTTATGTAACAGATCGATACATCAATTCGATTTCATTATTGGAACTGTAGTTACTTTACTGATGATGAAGTAGCTCGGAAATAATACATGGATTTTTCGGAACTGCGAATAAAGTCATCTTGCACAAAATAGAAAGTTATAGTTTCAGACTTAAGTTCAAATAAAGAAACACAATTGAGTGACATGGTAACGTTTTTACACTGTAACGCTTTGGTGGTGTTACAAAACATCAGTTGATCAGTTCACAATGTCGTCGTCGTCAAAGGTTAAATTCAACATGTTTTATCTCAGACTCCTTGAAATCTAGCGACCGAAGTGACAGAAAACCGCGCTCAATCTAAACTATAAGTCAAACCCAATCGCAGTATAATTTATTTGTTCCGAGTTTATATAACTTACCTTCAACCTTGAAAAGAAGTCAAGTCCGTTCAAGATTTTGTCGGGCTTGATGTAACGACGCCAACGCGGTTATCGCTGAACTAATTATAAGCACAATTCAATGTTTGCCCTGTGACCTTTACGCGTTGCCTATACCTCAGCTTTCTAATAACATTACTCAAACAGTGAAGTTCAAAAACTTTTGTATAGTCTTTGTGCCCCAAATCCCCCTTTGTCACTGCTGCACACTCCGGGAGTAAAGTTCAAGATCAATGCTGCACCATTATCGTAATCTTGATCAACTATTGTGTTTCCATGTTTCAGGCTTCAGCGATACAGCCGAACCGTCTGTTTCATGCATTCGTAATTTCGGGACACAGAACAGCCGTTGAGTCCCCGGCTCCAAAATACTTCAAAATCGATGGACAACAAAGAATCTCAGTTGTGATTGAGTAATAAATGAGAACCGTCGATACTGTATGTTCTGTTCTTTAAATAGCCGATTTTAGAAAGAACTCCATCCATGGTTTCAATGTCAGAACCCTTAAACTCTTCAATATACCATTGAGTTCCCGTGCGGAAGAGAGCGTACCGGTAGGCCTAATTTCACAACTTTCCCCGTTTCATCTCATATGCCAAAGTGGCGCAAAGTTTAATTTGTGAAGGGATAAACCATTCTTCTTGATTGCATGGTCATTTTCCTTAGTGGATTCATTTTATTATTCATAGATTATCACATAATTTCAAGCCCCTCACTGATCTCTTGGGTCTACCAAGGGAATTCCCCAAAGTTTCCCCTTCCAAATGTTTAACATTGCCCGTTCATTTTCAAACCGGAAAAATCACCATTTCCTATAAAGTGCACTGTTCAGTACATAATCGCACCTCCCTGTAAACACGGTCCATGAGTTCAGGCCGCGGCCGACCGCGTTTTTAAGGTCACGGTTTGTTTAACAACAAGCGGATTACATGACAATTTGATTGACCACACAACGGCCGCAATACAAATACCGGCTGACCGTTAAACTGTCGGCCACGTGGGGATTATGTAACCGGTGTGTGAGTATTAATCGGCGGTCTGACCTGAAGCGGGAGGTCATGTTGTGGCTGCGCGAGAGAACTAGACGGTACCTAGGAGGTGTTCGCTTAAAGGAGCAGTTGTAAAATTGTGAGATTGTAATGTTAGCCTATAAAACTAGTGATAGCACAAAGTTAATTATAGACTCTTCCCTCTTCAAATATACACGTCTATTCTGTTAAAAATATGGCCTAAGAAGATTGAATATACAGTGAAATTT